TCCCTCTCTCTCTCTCCCCCCCCCCTTCCTCTCTCAAATCAATAAAAACATATTTTAAAAAAAGAAAAAAGAAAATTATGTGTCGATGTATTTATCCAATCATTTGTTTACTGTCTAGCTCTTCCTCATCATAAAGGATTTTGCCTGTTTGGTCCTCAGAAGAGTGATTAGACAACGCAGTAGGCTCTCAATAACTATTTGTGAATGGATGACCAATTTAGAGGAGAACCAGGCCCAAAATGTGTGAAAAATACTAAAGCATAAAACCAAAATATAAAAACAAGAACATAGCTAACAGCAGCCAGACCAAATTTATGCATAAATGCCAAAAATATGCTGGAGTAAGTAGAACCAGATGGGATTATGGCGGAAAGGCTTGGGGAAATGGATGAATTTGAAGCAGTTTCGCTGTAGAACTAGGGGCAAATGGCAGAGGTGGAAGCCAGTGAGGAAGCTCTGGCCATGTGCTTTGGGAGGCAGTTTGCTCTCAAAATGAAAGGCCTAGGCACCAGCCTGAGGCTGTGGGGAAGGACGACACTGCTATAAGGCAGGGCTGTTGCTAGGAGGCAGCCTCCAAGGAGATGATTAGGATTTAGAATGTGACTTAAAATTTATCTTCATTCTTCTTCTCTTTTCTGTTTTGGTTTGTAGGATGGCCAGCCATTGGCGGGGTTGATTCAAGATCACATGGTTTCGGGTGCAAATATGACCACTCGAGGTTGCTTTTTCACCCGGGAGCAGTATATGGAACTGGTGTACCGAGGACTCACAGACAAAGTGGGACATGTGAAGCTCTTTGCTCCTGCCATCCTGAAGCCTTTTCCACTGTGGACAGGAAAGCAGGTAATTGGGAGAAAACAACCAGCGTGTATATCAGAAGGAAACCAGCCATTCACAAGAGGTTTCATTCCCAGAGGAGCCCACGCCAGAGACAGAGAAATAACAGTTCAGACAATAGTGTGACTTTCCGTTTGATGGGCTCCTGGTGTGGGTGGTTTCATAGGAGACCTAAGAGTAGGCTGCATGGGTTTCTGTCTTTTGCTTCTAAGTTAAACTTGATTCCTCGTAATCCAAATATGTGATTATAGGCAGTGGTGTTGGTGGTACTATTAGTAATGTTTTGGAGGAGGGCTCAAGTGCTTTGCCGAATGCTTTAGCTATGTTACTTAATCCTCACAACCAGCCTGCAATGCAGAGACCACTGTTATCACCATTTAGCAGTTAAGGATATTGAGGTTTAAAGAAGTTAAATTATATGCCCATGTCTGTAGGAGACAGCTGGGATTCAAACCCAGGATTTTCTGACTTCCGCAGCATCACACTCTACTTTCCCCTTAAAGTAATAAAATAATAGTATATATAATGACCAAATAATTAAATGGAATAAAATATCTGCTGCTGCTGCTGTTGTTGGCTGGGTTTTCAGGTTCATCCTTAGACCTAACTGACTAACTATCTGATCTTGGCTCTGTGGACCTCATTTTCGCATCTGTAGAGTGAAGGGTTTCTGGTTGATCTCAAAAGTTTCTTTCTGCTCTTCAGTTCTGTGGACCTGGGACTTGACTGCTTTTCAGTTGTTAAACTAACCTTACATTCCTGGGATAATCTTTACTTGGTCATGAGACATTACCCTGTCTATACATTATTGAATTCAACAAAAATTTTATTTAGAATTTGTGTGTTTGTGTGTGTGCTCATGAGGTATATTGATCTATAGTTTCCTTGTAATACTTTTTGCCTGGTTTTGGTATCAGGGTAGCATTGTCTTTATAGAATGAGTTGGGAAGTAGTTTCTCTTCAGTTTTCTGTAAGAGTTTGTGTAGTACTGGTTGTTTTTTTTTTGGTTTTTTTTTTTTAAATATCTGGTAGAATTCACCAGTGAAGTCATCCTGACCTGGAGATTTCTTTATAAGAAGGTTTTTAAACTAAAATTTTTGTTTCCCTAGTACATATAGGGCTATTCAGATTATCTATTTATTGAATGAACTTTAGTACTTTGTGTTTTCAAGAAGTTTGTCCATTTCATCTAAGTTGTTGAATTTATAGGCATAAAGTTATTTATAATATTTACCATTCCTTTCTATACGTACAATTGGGTCATCTTTCTCATTCCTGATATTGGTAATTTATGTCTTGTCTCTTTTCTCCTGATCAATTTGCCTAGAAGTATATTGATTTTATTGCTCTCAAAGAACAGCTTTCATAGTCTTTTCCTATTTTCCTGTTTTATTGATTTCACTTTTATCTTTATTATTTCCTTCTGTTTTCATTGGGCTTTATTTGCTTTTGTTTTTCTGGTTACTTAAGGTTGACGCTGACATCATTGATCTGAGACTTTTTTCTTTTTTTATACAAGCACTTTATGTATAAATTTCATCCCTAAGTTCGATTAAGTAACATCTCACAAATTATGTATGTTGTATTTTCACTTACTTCAGAATACTTTCTCATTTACCTTTTGATTTATTTTTTAACAGTGATTTAGAAGTTCATTATTTAGTTTTCAAATATCTAGGGAATATCCTGATATCTTTGTTTACAGATTTCCAGTTTAATTTTATCGTAGCCAGAGAACATACCTTGGATGACCTGAACCATTTTAAATGTAATGAGATTTGTTTTGTGGCTTTTGTTATGGTCTATCATGGTAAATGTTCTGTGTGCCCTTAAAAATAATGTATAATCTGCTGTTGTTGGATGGACTGTTCTATAAATGTCAGTTAGGTTCAGTTGATAGATAGTTCAAGTCTACTATATCCTTGCTGATCACCGCCCTTCATTACCTGATGTCCATTGTCTTGAAAATGCTTTTGTTGTTATTTCTGGTGGGAGAGTAAATCAGGTTATCATTGCTTCATCCTGACCAGAAATAGAAGTCGACTTAACAGAATATACAGGCAGTTCTGCAATTTAATATTAAAATCTATAGTACAGGTAGTTTGGTTCAAAGAGTTGGTAAGCTTTTTCTGTAAAACCACATAGCAAATATTTTAGGCTTTGCTGGCCCTACAATCTCTGTTACAACTACTCAGTTATGCCATTATAACATGAAAACAGCCAAAGACAATACATAAATGAGTGAGCATATCTGTTACCCAATCTAACTTTATTTATAAAAGCTGGTGGGCCAGATTTGGCCTACAGGCTCTAGTTTGCCTACCCCTGATTTAGTTAGTTGGTTCTATGTATCTGTCCACTTTATTATTCCTATTTATAGTATTATTGTTCCTTTCTATATGTCTTTATTTTATAAGCCATCTCAAGTTATCTTGGAAGTGAATGGATTATAAGTCTTAAGTAATTTAGTGTCCAGAATTTATTAGAATTTCATTTAAGTGTAAGCAGTGTGTTCAAAATAAAACCAAATAGTGGACAAAGAACATACAAGGGTGGGGAAAAGTAGATTAATAATAATAAATAATACAATAATTAATAAATACATAATACAAGAGTAAACTGTGTTTCGTGTATTCACAACTATAAACCTACTTTTGCCCACCTGTGTTATTTAGAGCCATAAATGTGTTCATTCCCTTTGATCTGGGAATTCAGTCTAAAGAAACAATCTGAAATGTAGAAAAGGCTACTTGAAAAAGCAGTCCATTACACCATAGTTTATAGTGGTAGAAAACCAGAATAACCTAGATGTTTAAGATTGGAGCTAAGTAAATTGTGGAACGTCCATTTGTTAAGGTATGCAGTTGTTAAAAATAGCAGTTTTAAAATATCATGTAGCAATCTGGAAAATTCTCTGACAAAATGTTGAAAGAAGAAATAGACTACTCAATTCACTGTTCAATAGACTGGTCAATTCATTGTGCAATCACAATTGCAACCATGTTAAAAATGTATATGAGAGGTGTGGCATTAAAAAAATTAAAATGATAGAATAATTTGGTTGGTGTTAGGGATTTTTTTTTTCTTCATTTTATAATGTTTCTGAGCTGTGATTATTACTTTACAGTTAAATAAAATTAGAAAATAAACCCAGATTTTACTTCTGTAGCAGTTGAGAATATTCAGTGTTTCTTGAGAGGTTGGTACAGGCTGTTATTTCTTTGCAAATAGGTGAAAGGGGAAGAGTGACTGAACTGCACAGCAATTTGTCTGTGGAATCCGTCTAATTCTACAGAAAAAAGCTATGTTTAGAATTGGAAGATAAGGAACTTGGCTTGGGCAGTTTATTTGTACTGCCTCGAAAATGAAGTCTTAGGCTGCCTCTCCAGGGGATTTCATATAGCATCTTGAGTGCTTTTCTTTCTACTTAAGAATCTGAGGTCTCTCATCATTTGTTGAAGGAGCATATAAAGAGGATTTTTGCCTGTCATTGCAAATCTCAAGTGTATAGCTCAGTGTATGTTCACAAAAGGAATACACCTTTGTAAACTATCTCGCAGGTTGGAATGTAGAACATCACCAGCACTCCCAAAAGACCCCTCTAGGCCCCTCTCAGTTTCTGCCCTCCCCAAAGGTAGCCACTAACCTGACCTCTAACACTATAGGTAAGTTTTGTCTTTTCCTGAACTTTATATAAATGGAATAATACAGTAAATCATATCTTTCTGAGTCGCTCGTGTCATATATAGCAGTGGTTTGTTCATTTTCATTGCTGCATAGTATTCCCTTGTATGACTGTACCATGTATATTTATCCATTTTACTGTTGACGGACATCTGGGTTCTCTTTGGTCCTCTTCATTTGGTTATTACAAATAGAGCTACTATGAACATTCTTGTGCGTGTCTTTTTTTGACCCTATATATGCATTTTAATGGGTAAATAAATACCAGGGAATCAAATTTCTGGGTCCTAAGGTCTGTGTTCAGCTTTAATAGGTAGTTTAATAAACAGTTTTCCCAAGTGCTTGTGGCAGCTTCCACTTCTTCAGGGCAGGAGAATCTGGTTGCGCCTTTTCCGCAGCAGAGCTTGATGCTTGTTTGTTCATTTGTTTCCGTCTGTTTAATTTTAGCCATTCAGATGGGTGTGTAGTGGCATCTTATTGTGACTTTAATTTGCCTTTTCTTAAAGACAAGTGAGGTTAAGCACCTCTTCACATGCTTGTTGTTCCATTTGGATCTCATCTTGTGTGGAGTGCTGTTCAAGTCCTTTGCCTGTTTTCCATTCTGTGCCTTTTTTTTTTTATTGATAGGTAAGAGTTTATTATATATTCTGGTATAAGTCCATTGCCAGATATAGTATGTATCGCAAATATCTTCTACTTAATGACTAGCCTCTTTGCCCTTTTACCTGATGCTTTTTTTTTTCTAATTATCAGTTCTTCATTTTATATAACGTAATTCATCAGTCTTTGCCTTTTATGGCTAGTCCCGTATAAGAACTATGCCTGCCCCTGGGTCATGAAGGTATCCTCTTGTGTATCATCTGATAGCTTTATTGTTGTACTTTTCACACCTTGGTCTACTGGAGTTTATTTTTGTGGGTGCATTTGGTGTGAGGTAGAAGTGAGGGTTCCTTTTTTTCTCACATGGATATCTAATTGATATAACATTATTTGTTGAAACCACCACCATTTTTCCACTCTTCGTGTCTCCTGTGTCTTAAATCAACTAGTTATACATGGGTGGGTCTGTTCTGGACTCTGTTCAGTTCCATTGGTCTGTTTGATTCCATTGTGCCAATACCACACTGTCTTCATTATTGTAGCTTTATAATACATCTTTGTCTTTTTATTGTTGCATCCTAAGAGTTATTTATATATTTGGACTATTAGACCCGTATCACGTATATGAATTCCAAATATTTTCTGTTATTCAGTGAGTTGCCTTTTCATTTTCTTAGTATTGCCCTTTGACACACAAATATTGTTCATTTTGAAGTCCAGTTTATCTTTTTCTTTTGTTGCTTGTGCTTTTGTTTTTTAAATTCTCACCTGAGGATACTCTTTCCATTGATTTTCAGAGAGAGTGAGAAGGAGTGGGGGGACAGGGAGAGAGAGAAACATCGTGTCTGTCCCACATTGATCGGTTATCTCCCGCACTCACCCCTACCTGGGCCGGGGGATCTAGCCTGTAACCCAGATACGTGCCCTTGACCGGGAATCGAACCCTTAACCCTTTGGTGTGCAGGCTGATGCTCTAACCACTGAGCCACACTGGTCATGGCTGTTGCTTGTGCTTTAGATGTCATATCTAAAAAACTGTTGCCTAATCAAAGATCACACAGATTTATAGCTGTATTTCCATCTGAGAATTTTATGTATTTAAGCCCTTACAATTTAGGTCTTTGACCCATTTTGAATTAATTTTTATATGCGTTTGAGGTAGCAGTTCAGCTTCATGCTTTTGCATGTGTGTATGCAGTTGTATCGGCACCATTTGTTGACAAGCCTGTTCTTTCCCCTATTAAATATTCTTAGCACTCTTGCTGAAAATCAGTTAACCACAGATGTATTTATTTCTGGACTCTCATTTCTATGGCATTGAGCAACATGTCAATCTTTATGCCACTGTAATGTCTTAGTAACTGTAGCTTTGTAGTAAGTTTTAAAATCTAGAAGTGTGAGTTCTCCAACTTTGTTTCTCTTTTTCAAGATTGTTTTAGCTATTCAGGGTTTGTCGTATTTCTATATGAATTTTAGGTTCAATTTCTTCATTTATGCAGAACCGGCAGTTGAAATTTCAGTAAGGATTGCACTGGCTTTGTGAATCAGTTTGGAGAGTTTTGCCATCTTAACAATGTTACATCTTCCAGTCCATCATGTCTTTCCATTTATTTAGATTTTCTTTCATTTCTTTCAACAGTGTAATGTAGTTTTCAGCATGTAAGTTTTACAGTTTGGTTAAATTTATTTCCAGTATTTTGTTATTTTGATGCTGTTATCAATGCAATTGTTTTCTTAATGTCATTTTCGTATTCATTGTTATGTATAGAAATACAGTTGATTTTTGTTGTTCGTCTTGTATGAAGTCATTGACTAGCTCTGTTAATTTTTTGCAGATTCTTTAGGGTTTTCTATATATAAGATTACACCTTCTGCAGATAGTGGTAATTTTACTTCTTCCTCTCTAATCTGGACACCTTTTATTTACTTGCCAGGTTGCCCTGGTTAGATCCTAAGTATATTGTTGAATAGAAGTGGTGAGAGCAGACATTCTAGTCTTGCTCCTGATCATAGGCAGAAAAGCATCCAGTCTTTGATCATTGAATATGTTCACTAGGGGCTTTTCCTAGATGCCTCCTCTTTCTTAGGTTGATGATGTTTTTTTCTATTCCTATTCTGTTGAGTGTTTTTATCATGAAAGGGTGTTGGGAGTTTGTCAAATGCTTTTTCTGCCTTGATTTTGTAGATGACATGACAGGTATATTTCCCTGTTCTCGGATAGTTGAATACATGTATTTCTGTTAACTTTCCCATCCTGACTGCCCAGCCTGGCTGTTCCTGCTGTACATGTGGCTCTTTAGTTGAGGTGCACCTTGTGGTCAGCATCCAGGGAGTCTTACCCTCCTGCCTTTACTCCCTCACCTGGCAGTGCCAGCCCTATAGAGAGCCTGGGTCATGACCTTCCTGGTCTTCTGCTGAGATAATAAGGAGTATTGTCTGCTTTTTAAAAAGACATTGTTGCCACCCTGGCTGGTGTGGCTCCGTTGATTGGAAGTCATCCCATCCACCCAAAGGTTGCCAATTCCATATCCAATCAGGGCACATACGCAGGTTGTGGCTCGATCCTCTATAGGGAGGGGCAAGAGGCAGCCAAAAGATCGATGTTTCATTCTCACATCGATGTTGCTCTCTCCCTCTCCCTTCTTCTCCCTCTAAAAATCAATAAAAAAATCTTTTTAAAATAAATAAAAATAAAAGATGCTGTTGCCATTTGTCCCCTGCTCCTGGTGCACTTACGTGAAAAGACTGCTGCTCTCCTACCTGCCCTGAATCCATTGTGCACATATGACCAGGCCCCTTTGTGGGACGTAGCATTGGCACACAAAGAGCTATTGATGCCAGCTGATGGCTCCCAGCCCCTCCTCAGCCTTCAGGGCCTGTTACACCAGCCTGTCTGCCCCCTGCCTGCTACATCTGTGGGAATGTATGCTTTGGGAATGTATGGTTAATCCCTAAGTTCAGTGCCCTCACTTGTGTTCTGTATGGAGCAGCTGCTTGAGAATTTGCCTCCCCTGGCCTCCTGTTAGCAGGAGTGGACGGCCACACCGATGGGCCAATTGGAGCAGGGGATGAACTCCCTGGCCTTTTAGTGACCATAATTAATTCTGGTCACATAAATTTATTTCTGGTGTAAGCTCTGTAAAAGCTGATTATGTAGAGGCCATCAGTTGCCCAGTAGTCACCTAATTACTATGTCCTCTGATGTGCCTCACACAGAGTGAGTCACATGGTGCTCCCCATCAGGTCACTTTAATAACACTTCTAAAATGCCCATCCTTCTTGTCAGTGTCACATAGGAGGCTGATTCTCTATGGCATTTATTTAGCCTTAAAGTCTAAATCAGGAACAAGCTATCCTTTTAAAAGATAAATCAGAGCATGTCACCCCAGGATCAAAACCTACCAAATAGCTTTCCTTCTCACTCAAAAGCCTCGCTGAAATGCAAGCGCTGATCTCTGCATGGCTCCCTTCTCAGTGCCTTCTTGTGTGAGGCCGCCTCTGCCTATCCTACTTAAAATCCCAAATACTTACCCCGTGCTGCTCTAGGTCCTCCTTCCCTGCTTTATTTTCTTCCAAACCATGGGTCCCCTTTGGAATGGAGGCTCTACTGAAGGCAGAGACTGTATTTTATTTACAATTCTTCCCAGCACCTGGTTCATAGGAAGTACTCGATGTGTAATTGCTGAATGAATGACTGGGCCCTATCTGTACCCTCCAGATGAGCAATGCTAGGGCTAAGAGGGCATGACCACTTCCCCACAGCACGCGGCCTGTCAGTGATGGGCAGACGCGGGAACAGCTCCTTGTCCCGGAAGCTTCCCTGCAGCCTGCTTCTCAGTCGGACACCTCGGGCCTCCTCTGGGAACTCCTCAGAGGAACAGCTCTTGATTATCAGTCTGCATCTTTCCTTCCTTAGACCAGGAAGTCAGATCTGTTCCGTGGGAGCCAGTTTTCCCCAATTAGTTCACATTCAGTATTATTCTGTATCAGTTTCACATGTACATCCTTAGTGGTTAGACAGTCATGTACTTTATTGGGAGAGTGGTCTCCCAATATTTCCAGTACCCGCCTGGCCCCATACATAGTTATTACAGTATTATTGACTATATTTTCTGTGCTGTACTTTACATCCCCGTGACTATTTTGGAACAACCAGTCTGTGCTTCTCAATCACATCTGTACTTCGCAATCCGTACTTCTCAATCTCCTCACCTTTTCACCCAGTCCCCCAAGTTCCCTTCCCTCTGCCAACTGACAGTCTGCTCTCTGTATCTGTGAGTCTCTTTCTGTTTTGTATGTTTATTTTGTTCTGTGGGAGGGCATGCTGACTGTATGTAGTAATTGCCATTGATTTTAACTTGGGCTGACTTCTGGCAGAGGGCAGCTTTGCAAGCCCCACCATCCTTCTTGGCCCTGTGTCTTTGTTCTTGCTTTTTACCACATACTCTGATCTTTTTACTATGACTCTGCAGCAATTTACTTTTTTTATCTCCTTCCTTTGATCTGTTCAAGAACTGAGTATTGAGTTTTCAGATCTGGGGGACTGTTCACTTTAACAGGAATTATTTTAGGGAAAAGTGCCAGGGAAGGTTTAGTGGTATCTGTTTGTTTCCGCCCCTAAGCTCCCTCTTAAGTCACGTAAGTAGAATGTGGGAAGCGAGACCCACTTGTCCCACAGAGCTGGAACCGTCCGTTGTCCTTGCTGAACTCCAGGTCACTAGAATGGACTTGTCTGGCTCTTCAGGATGAACAGGGACAGGAAGTCCTAAAGGGAACTTCTCATCTTTTCTTCTTCTCCTTTCCAGGTTGTGTCCACACTGCTCATAAACATAATCCCAGAGGAGTACATCCCACTGAACTTATCAGGAAAGGCAAAGATCAGTGGGAAAGCCTGGGTGAAGGAGTCTCCTCGGCCCGTTCCCGGCTTCAACCCCGACTCCATGTGCGAGTCCCAGGTAGGGCTGCCCAGCCGTTTCAGTTGGAGACTGCGAGTCCTGGGTTTAGACAAATTGAAGTGAAACAGAGACAGAGAAATGGAGGCACACACACAGAAGCAGGCATTTTAGCTCATAAGAAAAAGAGCTGTGCCCATATAGGTGTCAGCTTTGGATTAAGTAAGGTTCAGAGTTGATGACTAACATTGGCCCTCAGTATAAAACTGGCAGCCAGCTTGCGAAGGCTTCCACAGTAGAAGGCCTCTGGACCTGGCTGCAAAGCTTGCAAATGCAGAGCCCGTGTTTCCTCTTGCGACCCCTGAGTGGCTGAAGATTGTGGAACTGCTGTGAGGTTCCACTCCTCCCAGCTTCGTGCCTCAGGAACCAGCCTCGGAGGTAGGCCAAGGCAGTCAGACCTAGGCACCATGCTGCTGCAAGAGAGCGAGACTGTGCCCCATGCTGGATTTACAAGGCCTCTGTGTGTTCTTGGAGGAGGAATATCTCCAAGTGCCCCTCTCACAGTGCTTTGTCACTAGGTCTGACACATTCCATTAGAACTGAAGCTGCCACTTTTCCTTCATAGATCACATGCTTAATGCTTGCTGCATTTTGCAACCAGAAATCCTTCTTTTAGTTTGCTTCCGATTCATTAACCTCACTTTGTGAAAATACAAATTCCGGCCCTAAATGACGTTGGAAAGGTTATGTTGTTCATATTCCCAGGGTGCAGGGGAGGCAGTACCTTGACCAAGGTCATGGTTATAAAGTTTAGACTCTGACTGTTCTCGTTTCCAGTCATAAAGTCTTTGTCCACGGTACCTGACCTCAAGTAGTATGGGTG